AAAAAAATTATGAGATCCATTTGTGGAGGACGATATTTAATTGTGGCAGCCCACCACAAATAAATCAATGTATGGGAAACACTGCCACTGGTTTAAGTTATTTGAAATTATATTTAAATATGCAAATGAGATTAAACATTTGTTAACTTGCCTTACATTTCTGGAGCATAAATCTGAATATTTGATAAAGACATTAAAGACTCTTTTTTTGACATAGAGTTTTTATTAGTTATAGTAGTTGTATTAGGAATATCTTTGTAGTACTCCAACATTTCATTTGTGCACACTTGTCTAATGTTTAAAGTATCCTATGTTTATATTTGAGCAGTTGTGGTTTAGTATATTATAGTCTATTCTCACTTATAGACAATAAGTGAGAGAATAGCCATGAAAAAAACTATTTTTGCCACGGTTGTTTTAGAAATTAAATGTCATAAATCAGTCCGTGTATGACGCATTAACAACGCCGTGTTAAAACAGACTGAACAGTGGTGGAATGTGATTAAGTGCATTCACTTAAATATTGTACTTTAAAGTTGCATTTTTAAGCAGTTTAATTTAATAGAGTACTTCTTTACTTTGCATTTATTAAAAAGCATAATGTAACTCTATTGCAGAATTATGTTAGCTACAAGTTAAGCAATATAGTTGAACTCAACAAAAAAAAACTGCTCCCACATCGGGGAAGCTGTATGTATGTATAATAATGTATGATAATTATCTTCTTCATATTTCTCAAAAGTTCACACCATTTTTACATAAATGAGGAACTGTGTCTTTTAAAAACATGTTATGATAACCCTGCGGTTAATCATAGATAAAAGAATACATATTTATGGTAAATATTTGCAAACATGAGAGGATGCTTGTGTTTCGCTGTAACCGAGCCTTCTGTAAGCAGTCCGGCAACATGAGGACTGTCAGGTCTCCCCTGTCGTTCCCCAGAGGTTGAGTTTACTTCATGAATGCAACCTTCTCATCATGAGCCAAATACTATATTCACATGCTCTGCCAAGCATCACAGAGACTGTTCCCCGGTGAGGGAGCGCTGTCTGCTCCACCAACGGCTGGGCAGTGGGGATTTTATGACTGAGTTAGAGATCATGTAAGTAGCTGTAGCCTGTCTGTTATGCAGCAGAGCCCTACTGACACCAGACTGATCAACAAGGTGATGCAGACGAGATAAAATGTAATCTAGTCTGAGTAGGTTAGCATTCTCATACCTGTCATTCAGATCCCTGCTGGATAGGACAAGTATTTACAGGCAAAACTGCACTCTAAAGCGGGCAATCACTCGGAGATTTGACACTGTCTCAATCAGACAGATTTGACACTGTCTCAATCACAGACAGGAAAATTCTGCCTGAAACCATGTATTATTCTAATTTTTGAGATGTTATCTAAGAAATGTCCATGTGCTGTTGAAAGAAACAAAAAGGAAGATGCAGCTGAAGATGAGAAACATAACAGCTTGCATGTTCCAGTTAAAGGCGGGTTCACACTTTAATTGATCTTGATGACTAACGGGAACATCGCAAGCTGAATTACATAGCGGCATCTTTTTTGTGACTCTAACCTCTGGTTGGTGTTCAACAAAAACAGGTGCTTGAAAGAAGAATTTAAATACTAATTTCTCACAGCAACACCAATGATAGAAGTCCATCATGAGTAAAAAGGACAAATCTGGCATTTCAGGTCATAGTGACATTCAGCACCTGCTATGAGTGAGTCACACGAATAGAGAGTATCACAATCACCTCACAGGACAAACTTAAGGAATGACCTCATGCAGGGCCACTGCAGTCTGGCTTGGCACGAACAATAGCTAGTCTGTGCAGGTCCATCCTACTTTTCTCTCCAGCATGTCTGCGACCGCTGACCGCAGCTTGAGTCACATCCTTCCCTGCTTTCCTGCGTGTTTACGGAGTGCCGGCGCTCAATAGCCTGTGATTTCACGGGCCTTCAGTATTAAGAGTCGCAGTGTTTGCAAAGACCTCCAGGACGGGATGGAAAGAACCATCCAGGGTTTGCTACAAACCGCAAGCGTGATACAGGAAACCCCCTCCTCTGTGTCTCTCTCTCTGCAGAGTTTTCCACTCCATTCAGCATTCCTCTTTGTGGGACAGGTGCTCGCAGACGACAGCTAACTGTGATGACTGCAGTGACATCACACACAAAATGACGCAGGGCAGCGATGGAACAGTTTTCTCTAAATAGACATTTAATGATTTAAAATGTGTGGCTACAGACGGGGAGAAGGGGAACATGTTTTGGGGATGGAAAAGAGGGATTTTTAACTGGTACTCTGTCGCAGACCGCGCAACATAAACTTCTTCTTTTCTGCAAAGCTGAATGGCAGAGGAGGCAAACGGATGAAAAGCAAAACAGCCGTGCAGGAGGAGGACATTGCTCTGGCATGTATCAATGGCATCACATTGAGGTGATAAAAAAAAAAAAAAAAAAAGCATTTAAATTTACAATCGTTGAACATATAACACTGAAGTTCATTAACATGTAACAAATATATACAGATAATCAACAAATAGGGATTGTGGCAGAACGAAGCAGCTTCATGTCAAACTCAGATTGACAGAGTGTTATTGTGATTACAGTAACTTTGAAAGAAAAATGTGTAACATACTCTTTTGACCCATTGTGAAGGATTGTGTGCATCTCTCTGTTGTATGTGTTGGATGTAAACATTACTCCTGCTCTTCTTGGCCTTGCTCACATTATGAGCCACACAGTAATCATTGTTTCTCTTTTTTTTAAACTGAAGGCTGCATCTAATATTTGCACTGATCGGAAATCAATAAAACTTTAACAAATACAAAAACTAAACAAAAGAAACAAACTTCTGTGGTCTCATGACTGACACCTGCCATTGATAGCGCATTAGCGGCCCCTCTCCGCCCCCTCTGATTTCCACCTGCCTACTGCCGGCGGAGGCGCTGCCTACTGGGTCCGGAGCTGGTAATCTGAGGAGGAAATGGACAAAGACTTAATCAAATGTACAAAAGAAAAAGAGAGAATCTGAGAGAAATCAAGTGTAGGCAGCTGAAGCTTTCCACCCAGAATGAATGGAATACAAAGGAAATGAGATGAGGATGTTTGGCAATTAGTGACAACATTAGCAAAAAGACCAACATGTGCAACCTTGGTAAATCGCTGTTAAGATCAGGAAAGCTCGACAAAAAATCAATTTCTCACATTTTGCAGGACGTTGCCACATTGTCATGTTCTACACTGTATCCCCTTTTCATAGAACCGCACGGCTGGTTCCCACCGCATTGCACTGCCTTGCCCAACTGTTGCCTAAGATCTGCACATATGGGCACTGAACTCTTAACCTACCTCCATTTTGGGTGATGTAGCGCACCCACGGCAGGGCCTGGTATCCACTCTTCTCAATGATCTTCAGGTAACGCACCTGAGGAGGGAAAACAAAGGGTTATGAACGAGAGGAACAAGTGTCTAGACTTTTATTTAAACACTAAATTCAAGCTGTTTTTAGGTTAGCACTTCATTGCATGAGATGATGCAAGTTGCTGCAATGTAGTTTGTTTTTAGGTGCATTCAAACCTAATAGTCCGTTTTCTGGTGTGCACCAGACCACAGTTTGTTACATTGTTTCATTTTTCAGAAGGTTTGGTTTGCGTTCACACAGGCAAAACTCAAACGGACTATAAACTTTAAACACAAGTCATGTGCACGGAAATGCTGCTCAACCATTGGTCAGACATTAAGGGGGTAAAAACGCAAATCCCGGGAATTTCTACCGGAGCCTCCGCCATGGAGCATCGGCACTTTCGGCAGGTTATTCTCATGCTGCTGTTAATCTGGAGCTCAACTGACGGAGAAACAACCGCAGAAGTCTTTCAAGACATCCGCGGTTGTTTAGTTAAAGAGTAAAGGAGAAGGAAGTGTTGAACAGTGTCGTGTAAAGTAAAAATGCTCCATCAACTACATAAAAGCAAGAACACCTGAACGCCCCTCCTTACTGCAGAACGTCTCATTATATGTGTTATAATGTTTTTTAACGGACGTTGTCTGATTATATAATCATATGCGCAGGCCGCTAGTGTCTGTTGATCTCCAGATTAATTGCCAGCCATGAGAAATAACCGTGGCAGCAAGTGCGTCGATGCTCCATGCAGAAGGCTCCGGGAGAAATTGCCCGGATTTGCGTTTTACCCCCTTTAATGTCTGACCAAGTCGGTTGAACAGACAATTCTCCCCGTGCACAATGATCTTGTGTTTAAAGTTTATAGTTGTTTGAGTTTGCCACTTGTGAAGCAAACCGAACCTCCCTGAAAACTGAAACATCCGTAACAAACTGCTGGTCTGGTGCCACCAGAAACGACATTCAGAGGGAAACACACTTAGTGTAAGTCATTGTTGAGCAATGCCAAGGTAAAACAACTTAACCTAAAACATTTTCCATCTGTAGCAAATGTATTGCATGCCAGGCTCAACAGAGGGTCGGGCCCCTCACCAGCCATGCACTGGGGAGAGCCAGGAAAAACAAACCAGGTTGCCAGTCGATCAGCGGGCTTACCCATACAGACAAACCAAATAATAAATACTCCCAACAACCGGAAATGTGACAAATTTTTTATATTTTATGCCTCTGACAATCTTGTCGNGTCTGCAACTTCCGTTAGGCTCAGACGGCAAAATTAATAATTCATTAATTCATTAATTATGAATTATTAAAAATTATTTTAGCCAATAACAGGCACAATGATATGTAAGGAATGAAACTGCCATTTCATTTTGGAGCAAAAAAATGCACTTCACTGGGCCTTTAATGTACAGTATTGTGACCCAGTTGTGTCTCCCTGTCTGTCTGAAGAACAGAAAAGGTGCACAGATCTTCCTGCAGGTCTGAAATCTGATGTCAGGTCTTTCTCTCATATGAACAGGGATTTCAGTCGCTGGCAATACACGTCTACAATATGCTCCTTTGAAAAGACTCAAGACAGTTTAATACGAACAAAATAGCACACGTAATACACTATTAACACTACTTATATGCTCTAAAGTATATAAATGTTTTGAAAATATTTTAATTATGTAATTACTGGACTGCTTTTTAAATCAACCAATACAAAACCAAGGTGCATATGTGTATGTATGTAGTTCTGTATTCATGCAGTGTATATATTAGTTTATTACATTTTTTAAATTTATTTTTTAAATAAAAGTGTCAAACTGCTTTCGATTGTTTTTATTTTATTTTATTTTTTATTATTATTTTCAATATTTGTATTATTAAAACTACCACTTTATTTTATGTTTTTTATTCACATAAAAAACATTGATTTTGAAGGGATTTTATTTATTTATACTGCCTTTAAAGACATACATCTACAATAATCATAATAATAATAATAATATAAATTGAATTAAATAATGCACATATCCACACTTATATATTAAGTTACAAATATGTTATTGGCAAAGTCTTTGCATTTCTAGAGTTAAGTTTTACACAAAAAATAATACCGGAAAGGTCAGAAAAGATATAAAGATAATTTAATACGACTGGTTTTAATATATGTATTATACGACACAAATCAAAAAGGGAGCGCTTCTTTTAAAGGCTGACATTTTGCAGAAACAAATCGACAATCAATCTGATGAAGAAGTGATTTCTACATCTATTGAATTACATGAGGAACACAGAGCTTACAAAGCTCAATATCTGGAGAATAGTCTCAAAGCTCCACAGTTTGTCAGACTGAGACCTGCAGAGGAGGAGAGAGCAAGGAGTTCCTACAAAGTGCACAGTGGAGATTATTAAATGTCATATTCAATGAACATCAAATATTATATCCATTCCTTATATTAAAAAGTCTGAATCTCGTATATATTGCACATTTCAGCACAACTGCAGTTCTTCCACTTTGATACACTGCATCTATTTTCTTTCACAGTAGTTTGTCTTATTCTTATTATATTTCCTATTTATGTTTAATAGATGTTATAATAGTTCAATATCCTGTCTTACATACAACTTAGTTTCTCTGACTGTCTCTGTGCACTATTGTACACCAAAGCAAAATCCATGAATGCAAAAATAAAAAGGATATGACATTGGACTTTTGTATTAATATTAACGGAAAGCGTTAATATAAAATCTTTCATCTATAATGATATTAGTAATAGACGTGTTATAGATTGAAATACTTCATTCAGCCATTGGATAAATCATATGTGTTCTTAACGAGTTCGTTACGGACCGGTCTTCAATCGCACTACATGAAGGATTACTGGTTGTTGCGTCTCGTCAAATGTGTTGGTTATGTTTATGTATTATGTCTGTCATGTTTTTCACGTCTGGTCATGTCTGTTTATTTAGGTCCTTCATCTCTCGTCAGTCTCTGTGTTTATTGTCATGTCTCGTTTTCCATGTCCTGTTTTATTTTGTATTTACCTCTCTTATTTCAGGCCCTGTTTCTTCCTCCCCTTGTGTGATTTTCCCTCCATCGTCTGCCCCGCCCCTGATTGTTTCCACCTGTTCCCACTCACCTCATATTTAAATAGTCCTGTCTCTCCCCTGTCCTGTGTCAGTTCGTCTTGTTTGTTTCCCCGAATGGTCGTGCCAAGCCTCAGCTCAGAAAGGATCGCTTTCGCTGATGTCAGGTTTTGTTATTTTTGTTAATTTTGTAGGCTTACGTTTTTATTAAAGTTCTCGTAATGCTTAGTTTTTTCCTCCTTGTGAACGCTTTTTGTTTATTCCAGTAACTACTCTGTTAAAAGGGATTACCTGATCTTTGGAATTAAAATTACATGTTGTTACATTCAAGACTTTGTCTCTGGGTCGTGCATTTGGGCTCATCAGTTTGTGTCGAGGTCCTGACACTGGTTTAGTGTTATAACTATAGAGGGAACTATTACACAGTGTTTGAAGAAGTACTTACAAAAACCATGGTCTTAAAATACATTACAAGTTAAAGTCTTAAATGAAAGATGTTACTTGAGAAAAAGTACACAAGTATTATCATCATGATGTACTTTAATTACAAAAAGTAAAAGTACTCATTCTGCATAATGATTATTATCAGCTAATTGTACTTCAAGTATCAAAGTAAAAGTACTCGTTATGCAGAATGGATCTTTTCACAGTATCTATTATTATGGTTATAGAGCATTTTAGTGTTGAAGTTTATCCATGTGGACCAATACTTGAAGTACTGTGTAGTGTAGTATTACAGTACTGCATTATATATCAGTATATACTTAGTGTGTTTTATATGTTAAAAGCAACTGTGAGTGTTGTTTAACTAATGGAGTGGAGTAAAAGGTACAATATTTGCCTCTGAAATGCAGCAGAGTAGAAGTATAAAGTAGCAGTAAAGAGGAATGCTAAAGTTACTCCCATCACTGCTTATCAGAACCAGAATCATGTTTATTGCCAGGTACGTGTGTTACGATTCCAGACACTTAGTATGTAGGACCCAAATGCAAAACCCGGGAGACAGAGGTAAAGTATTTGTTGGATACTTTATTTTCCATAACAGCAAAAATGAAAACGTTCACGCAGTGAGGAATAAAAAAAACAAAGAGTTCCAGGAGCATAGACCTTACCGTGACAATAGACAAGACGAACTGACACTGAACACTGGGAGACAGGGGAATTTAAACACAGGGTAACAAGACACAGGTGGGAATAATCAGGGAATTGGACACACCAGGGAACTAACGACAGACATGAAAACACAGGGAAAAGAGACCAGACAATATACAGGGAGGAAAACATGACAAGGAGAACGGAAAAACACGACAGCAAACACCAAAACAGAGAACACTAGAACCCGTGACATAAACCTGGGGGTGTGACAACGTGGAAGAAATTATATTTAAATATTACGTACATATGTATTAAATAAAAGGTAAGAAAAGCAAGTAAAACAACCTGAAAAGCAAATATATTTTACTGCAGATTTCTAATAAGATGCAAATGTAATCTTAAGTAAACTCTACTATGCAATAGTAATTAAAATGTACTTACAAAAACTGAAATGTGGCAGTAAAGTGTACTTCAGTGCCTTTAGTAACAAACACTTCTTAACTGTAAGTAGATGCTACTTGAAATATACGTTGTTACATTTACTTATTATACATAACATATCTGCCACAATCAATTCTGAAGAGCCCTCCTGTAGCTCCAGGTTTGAACTAGTTCAGAGTGTAATAATCAACATTCTTCAATAGATAGACTAAACAGCTGAGGACACTGGATCACATTTGTTGTCGCTTATGGCTCGAGGTCATCTACACCCCGAGAAGGATGTGCTCCAGGTGTCCCAACAATAACTATCTCTGACTGAGAGTTGCCCGGTCATAAACGGATAACAACATGCTAGCAGCCTCTCCTTAAGGGAGATAGCGGCTGCCCAAAGCTGGGTATCTGCGTCAGAGGGC